AAAGAAGTAGCAGTATAAATAACAACTATATTAGATAAAACTATGCTTACCATTATATGTGAGATAGGGGCAAAATTTATGTTACGTCAAACAAAAATAAAAGAATAAAAGTTTAACATTTGAAGACTAATCAAGTTCCAGTTATTTCCTCTCAAAATGAAATTATTTGTGGTGTTCCTTTTTAAATATAATTTTTTTAAAAAACATGGACTCTAAGAGCTAAACTCTATAGGAAGTTAGGATATTTTACATTGAAATTGTTTTAAAAAAGAAAAACAATGAGAACATATGTTCAAAAGAAGAGCATTTAGCTCAGAGAAAATCTCTTCATGAAAAATTATCCAACAGATTTCATATGGAATTTCTACAGGCTTGGAAAAATTATTGTTTATAAAAAATAATTCATGAGAATCTAAAATGACACAGTCACTTTGGAAAACAATCTGACAGTTCCTCAAAATGGAAAACCATATGATCTGACAATTCCACTGCTAGGTAGATATCAAAGAGAAGTGAAAACATAAATCTATACAAAAAGGGTTACAAGAATGTTCATTGCAGCATTATTCATAATAGACAAAAACAGGAAACAATCCAAAAGTCCATGAACCAATGAATGAGTACATAAAATGTGGTATATTCACACAATGGAACATTACTCAGCAATAAAACGAGCTGCAGTATTGATAGAACTCCACCTTGAATGAAATTCCTAATGATTGCCTCCGTAATTAAAGTTCATTAAATGCCACTTAACTACAAACAATGATATAAGGCCATTATGTTGAGAAAAAGCAGTCATTCACTAAAGACCCATATTATATCACTGCATTCATATGAAATGTTCAGAAAAGACAAATCTTTACAAATAAATACATTTGTGGTGGCCTAGGACTGGAGAAGGGTGAGTGAGGGTTTGGAGAGAATTTAGGAGTGGCTGCTAATGGGTATGGAGTTTCTTTGGGGGATATTGAAAATGTAAAATTAATTGTGGTGATGGTTACACAGCTCTATAGACTTAATTAAACATTGAATTATATACTTTAAGTTGGTGAATTATATGGTATATGCATTATATCTCAATAAAACTGTTGTTTAAAAAAAACACAAAACATGAGCTAGATGGAAAATTCAGAGGACTAGTAAATGTTTTTCTCTCACTTAGACGTC